ACTAGTTAGTGCCAGTGCCAGGCCAGTCGGGCAGGCAAAATCACACAGAAGTGGTATTTTGTTGTTAGCATTTTGTTGGGTCCGAGACAAACGAATGAATGCGCCACGTCACTTGACGCATGCCTAATGCCGCCAACCATCATTAACAACAAGACAAACAACAACAGCAACAACAAGAGAGAATAGTATGTACTACATACATATGTACATCTATATATTGATATGTAAGCAACAAACTGAATACAATATTGTTTTGCTGCTTGTCTGTCTTGCCTGTCTGTCAATTGTCGTTTATTTAGTTTTGTAATAATAATTTGGTTTGAGTAGTACCACGAACAAAAACTGTATGAATATTTGTGTTTGATAGTAGATAGAGATACATATTTTATTATATCGCAGTCGTCGGCAACGTCGACGCCAAAACGTGTTTACTCAGGTAATTTCGTCGTCGTATTTATCAGCAGCCAAACAAACAGGCAGACATTTAGTAAAAATTGTAGATAATACATACAATTTAAAATGTTGGCACCTTAAGCCACAATAGTTACTGGCTCAAATCAAGTAGAAAAAAAAACTGAAGTATTAACAAATTAATGCAAATATCTTTGTCACGTTCTTTAATATTTAATAGCAATATTAAATATGATAAAATTTCGTTGCACTTAGTTCGCAGCAGCAACGTACACAGGATTTCATTTCGGGGGGGCCCGGTAGTACAAAATGAAAAATTCGCGGTTGTAAACATAAATTTACAGTGGAAAAAATTCATTTCGGGGGGGGGGGGGGGCGGTCCCCCCGGGCTCCCCCCTGCGTACGTCCCTGGTTCGCAGGATATGAAATAAAATTAATTTATGAAAATTTTTATTCTAAAATATCATAAAATTTATGTGTCTTTCGTTTATCTAAAGAGAGGCTTGACTTTTTTCAAAATAACTTTTTTTTATTTTTTGATGTTCTATGGTTAAAAAGATACCTACTGAAGTTCTTCTTTATCATGTTGAAATACTTCCAATATAATTGAAATTGAAATCACTGTGCAGCACTAAAATCTTGAACCAATCGAGACCCCCAAAATCTAGAAGCTTGTGATGGTGGAAGAAAATCCCTAGCTGGGTTTTGCATTATTAGCTAAGTTTTTTTTTTTTTTTTAAATTAATTTTTAAAATATTCGACTGGGGGTGGATTTTAGCACAATTTTCGAATAATACTATATCTATATCTCGTAAACTATTCGAAATATTGCATTTCTCTCTTAAGCAATATTTTTCCTCTTAATTAGATCTAAAAATTTTCTTTTGAGATAAAATCAATAAAACAACACCATCATACTGAAAATAGCACAACTGCAAGAAAATTAAAATTTCGACTTACTTTTTCCATGTTTAATTTTTACTTCAATTTTGTACCTATTTATTGAAAAAATTGGGAGTGAATTTCTTTGGTTCATTTTGATGAATTTGTGAGGCTATAACTATGTGAAGGAGTCAACCAATGAAATCGGGGTTTTAAGAAGAGTTGTTTGATTTGCTATTGGCTATCTTTTTGTCATATATTTTTTGGCCGAGTCAGTAGCAGTTTCTGAAATAAGTGTGAAAAACATGGAAAAAGTATGTCTAAATTTTAATTTTTTTTGCAGTTGTGCTATTTTCAGTATGATGTTGTTGTTTTATTGATTTTATCTCAAGAGAAAATTTGTAGACCTAATTAAGAGGAAAAATATTGCTTAAGAGAGAAAAGTAATATTTCGAATAGTTCACGAGATATAGACTCAATAATAAGTACGTATTATTCGAAAATTGTGCTAAAATCCGCCCAGTCGAATATTTTAAAAATTAATTTAAAAGAAATCCTTAGCTAATAATGCAAAACCCAGCTAGGGGGTCTCGATTGGTTCAAGATTTGAAAGTTGAAAAATGTGTCACTGTGAATTATTTCTAACATACATTTTTTCGAAATTCAATCAGTAACGTCTTTTTCGTAGTATATAGTCTTAATTCGTCATTTGGAATATTTATCTGATATGATTCATTTCGATCAAGCAAACCGGCAACTCCAGACCGGGAATAGCGAGCAGATGTGTGTCGTAAAAAGCTACTCTCAATAGCTTGAACCTCCTTTGAATTTATAATCCACCCTAACAGATCACTAAGTTCTCTGCCTGAAAACCGCATCTATACGAGTTCTTCATAGCAACTTCTACGCAAACAAAAGTTAAAAAAAAAAATAAATAAACACATCAGTGTACAGTATAAAATATTAATAAAATTATTTTATATATACATACTAACATCTTATTAGTAATTATTTATTTGGTTAAAATTATTCACTTGGTCATTAATAATTTCAAAATTATTAAAGACCACTCTGCATTATTCTGTTGTTAGCCGGTGTTTTCTTTCCCTTATTTTGTTTCTTTTTCCAGATGATAGTTGTCGTTGATAAGACATAGACAGAATCGAAAATGCCGACTCATATATACATAGACATTCAAAAAGTTTTCAATAGATTTTTTCCTTTATAAATATTCAATCAAACACGATCGTTGTATTTGTAATTTAAAACAAAGGCCAAACACAAAAAATGTAAACAAAAATTAATTTAACTACATATAGTACGAATCACACGTTGTTCTTTCTCATAAACACACTTATATACATACAAACACATCGAACAACACCAGTTGGCCAACTTAACACAAAAATGAAAAAAAATGTTGATGGTTTTTTTTTCGAATACGATGTCAATTTTTTATAGTAATTAATTTAAGAGGGGCACTAAAAAACAAATGGCAGAGTGGTAACAACTATTTTAGCTGTGTGTAGCTATGTGTAAACCATTTGGAAAATTAATTTAAAATTAAATTTTTCTCATAGTGCCAAAATATATTGATGCTCCTCTGTTCCAGAAACTGCAAGGTCCTTTTATCGATCGAAATTCTTTCCACTTTTTGAGTTCGGGATCGGGCACTCTGTTTTGTACATATTTGTATGAAAGAAACATTTGCTTTGCCCTACCCTCGTATTTTATATAAATAAATATGTGCATTTCTAGCATTTTATTTGGTTCAAGTGCTGATACGGCAAATGCTGATTAAACGAATAAAATAACAAATACATTTCGTACACACATGTATGGCTGTGTGGACGACGCCACATATGTGTAGATATGTCAACCTCTTCCAAATATATATATATATATATATATATGAAAACGAAGAAAAAGAGTAATAAATAATACACATTACTAATCAACGACAACGAAGATGACGACGTTGTCAGACTGATAAATTTTTTTTCTTATCACATTACACAGTATTTATTTCTGTTAAAAGAAATAGCATTATTTTATATACCTACATACATCTATAGATAGCTTAGAGTGCATTTTTCCAATTATTTGTATTTATTATTATTTTTTAGCAGAAATTCCCGGTTGATGAACTTATTGTATATGATATTACATTCTACGAACTTACGATCTTCGGTTTCTATGGGAAAATGTGAATTGTTCGAATGGAAATTACATAAAATTGAATAAGGTCGAACAACATTTTGTTTGTTGGCATGCTAAAATTGTGCAATTTCATATTATTTGATTAAAAACGGCGACTTTCCTTTTCTTTGCTAACCTTTGAACATCAGAGACCCCCATTAGATTAGCTAAGTCTTCTTACTCTGGTTAGAACATTGAAAGTTTCTTCGCTTGTGTTTGTTAAGCTGCTTTAGGAATACACATAATCCTTTGGTAATGGCTTTGAACACTAAGGTGTTGGCAATATTCATAACCCTTACGAGTCTGTAAAACGGATTCCTAAGTTGTGATTATTTATGTTTATTTGTAGCTGAGCATAATGACCGATGATATAACGAATCGCTGTGAGAATCACAGTTGTTTATGTAATATTTATATATTTGTATGTTATTGAAATTGTTATCTAAAAAAAATAATAATCGGTTGGTAAATTTGATTATGTTTAAGGCGGCGGTATCATTATCCTATATCTGATTTTTATTGAACGGCATTTGACGACGGGAGGTTGTGAAAAAATACATGTTATTGGAAACTATGAAAAAGAGAGCCAAATTTCGAAATAAACCTATTAAGCAATATGACACTTAAGGTCATAGCCGGTTTTTATAGAAAATTCTACAACTATGACGTACTAAAAATCTTGTATTTTTTAAATTTATTTTACCATCTACAAATTTTACAATTTTACAACATTTTTTTTTTTTAAATCCATGTTTTTTATTTCAGTTTTACCCAGATAATCATCATAGTGACGCCGTGATGATGATCTGATATAATTCCCAATAATGGAGCACACAACGTGATGGAGTTGTCGAAGCGCCAAACACATTTCAACCAAATTTCACACAAACGCCTCAATTAGAAGACATAAAGAAAACGTGAACGAACACAGCTTTAGCAAATTGCACCCAACTATAAGAATAACACACAGACACACTTAACAGCAACAACAACAACCTACCACATATATATATAAACAAGAGCCGATAAAAAGCTGCAACCAGCCAGCACCCCCAGAAAGTCGCAATATCAACAAAAGAAATCACATTGAACTTGAATTCAAGCACACGGAAAAACACTATCCAAAACCATATAAAAAATAACAACAACAACAAGAAGAAAAAGAAAACAAAATAGACTAGGAACAAAATTGCTAAATCATCACATTTGTTTAGATTCGTGTAGTGTATATTATTTTTCACATTTTTATTTTTACCTTTAAATGAATTTAATTTGAAAGTGTTCTTCGAAAGCACATTAAACATCCAGCAACAAACAAACATCAGACAGATTATTATTTCAACTGCATGTGCTCTCCCAAATCCATTGGATAGCAGCAGCAACAAAGTGATAGGCAAAAAAGTATTTCATTGAAGAGAGGAGGGCGAACAGTCAATATTATCTATAAAACTTACAACTTTGTGTAAAGAAATAGGCAACTACTTTTAAGTCAACATTTAACACCACCTCCTCCGTCATGGATAAGAACATGATGTTACCGAAACGATCGCGTTTGGATGTGAAAGGCCCCTTTGCCAATGGGCCAATGCAGGCTCGACCGTTGGTTGCATTGTTAGATGGTCGTGATTGTTCTATCGAAATGCCAATATTGAAAGATGTTGCCACTGTGGCGTTTTGTGATGCTCAAAGCACATCGGAAATACACGAAAAGGTAGAGTATAAAAATTACTTTTTATCGTTGAACTTATATTCAATTGACAAGCCTTTTATCATCTGTGCAGGTTTTAAACGAAGCTGTGGGCGCTCTTATGTGGCATACTATAATTTTAACAAAAGAGGATCTGGAAAAGTTTAAAGCATTACGTATTATAGTACGAATCGGCAGTGGTACTGATAACATAGATGTTAAGGCAGCTGGTGAACTTGGCATTGCAGTATGCAATGTTCCCGGTTATGGTGTGGAGGAAGTGGCTGATACGACAATGTGTTTGATATTAAATTTATACCGAAGAACCTATTGGCTAGCGAATATGGTGCGAGAAGGGAAGAAGTTTACCGGCCCCGAACAAGTACGAGAAGCTGCACATGTAAGTAATACCCCATTAATTAATTGCACGTGACATTTTTAATTTACGCGTTATCAACATACGACCTTTGTAAAGCCACATAGCCGCTTAACCAACGGCGAAACGCGTCCCATAATGTTGTGTAGGTTATTCTCCTGGCTTCCCTTTTCATTGCAAAACTTCATTCTGAAGTTAGACTCGAATAAGAATAATAAAAAAACACTAAAAATATATACAGTAGAGTACGCTTATAGCAAACACCTTTCCTGGTCTCGAAGTTTTAAGACAGATTTTTCATAATAATTCGCTGTAAGGGTAAAGACTCATACAGCCAACTTTTTTATAACGAACCATTTATTCGGTCCCAATTTTAAGTACTCATTTATTTGAATTCGGTTATAACGAACATGTTCCAAATATACATAATAAATAACGATGATAACCCACATCAAAAATATTATACCCTAACGCTGGCAAATTTTACAAAAAATGTCAGATTCATCAAAGATCCAGTAAGGAAAATTCAAAAGTCGGACGAATATGATACCCATCACCACTTAAGTACATACAAAAGATGCTCATATGTACAATATCCTGGAGATAGAATAGACATAGTATCATTTTGGGACCATTGAAATGGAATCGGACAAAATTAACTGTGTGAAAAAACTTATTCGTCCTAATCGGACAGATCGAATGAATATATATGGAATCTATATATGTAAACCTGAAACGTCTTCCATCCAATACGTTATGCAATATTTCATGTAATGCGAACAGACATAGGCTCCTCCATTTGCCAGTCGGGGAAAAATATATGTGGGAGCTGTATCTACATCTGAACCGATTTTGAAAATTTTTGTATCAATCGGACAAACATTGGTAGTATGGTGCTCCATTTACATTAAATCGGACGAAACTATATATATGGGAGATATACCTAAATCTGAACCAATTCCAATAAAACTTCGCATACATCAACCAGGACCTAATTTATTTGTTTAAATTCTAACAAGTGCTCTTCTAATTTAGTGCTCTTTGCAAAATTTTGTCTCAATCGTAAAATCAAACATAAAATATATAAGAGCTATATCTAAATCTGAACCGATTCCAAAAAAAAAATTCTCATATATCAATCTGGCCTAATTCAGTACGCTGTTCAAAATTTAGCCTCAATCGCTATATCTAAATCTGAACCGATTTTCTCCTATTTGGCCAAATAAGTAACCTGCGACTACGAATCAGTTTTGAGTCAGCTTTTTATTATCATATTTTGCAATATGTCTTATAATGGTTTATACATCACTTAGAACTAATTAACAGCTATGGATTAGGTTCATATGGTAATGGACCCAAGGTCATTTTCATCCGATATTGTACGATTGTAATCCAATCACAAATGCCTTAATACGATGTTCCAAATAGTAGTGAAGGATATAAAAATATACTCAAATGTAAATCGTTAGCTCATAACATAAGGTGTCCTTAACCCCATAGATTTCTAAATCGTTTTCATATACCCTGAAAATTACTTCTCTAAATTAGTTTGTTGTATATATGTTGTTTCATTTACAATACAAGCTATAATGTTAATTTTTCACCAATTTTGTGGTAAATTCCATTGATTAAGGCTGTTACTCGATATTCGCTTGGCCACAAAAGATTACTTACTTAGCTGGCTTGTTACAGAACGGTTGTTCCATAAGCCGAGCTTAAAAAAGATTTCCAAGCGCGTCGGTCTTGTGCGCAAGTCCACCAATTTGGAAGACCACGTTCCATCTAATTCGTGGCCTTCCCCTTCTACGGGAACCATCAGAAGGCTCATTTTTATATGCCTTTTGAGCTGGAGCATTTTCATTCCTCCGCACAACATGGCCTAGCCACCGTAGTCGCTGCAGCTCTATACGACTGACTATGTCGATGTCCGCGTGTAAATTGTAAAGTTCGTGGTTCATTCGATGCCGATATTCACCGTCGACACAGATCGGCCCGTAGATCTTTCGTAGAATTTTTCTCTCAAACACTCCAAGAGCTGCCTCATCTGCTTGCTCAAGTACCCATGCTTCTGATCCATATAATAGAACGGGTAGTATCAGCGTCTTTGTATAGTGTGAGTTTGTTCTGGCGGGAGGTGGCCTTGTTTCTGAACTGCTTACTTAGACCATAGTAGCATCTGTTGGCCATCACAATCCTTCTCCGAATTTCAAAACGGATGTCATTCGTTTTATTTATGGCGGTACCAAGGTATATAAAGTCTTTACCTCGAAGCTGTAGTTCTCAAGTTCCACAGTTGGTCCGAGTCTACTGGACGTCTTGCGCGTTGATACCATCAGCTTGGTCTTCTCGCCGTTTACTGCCAGACCCACTTTGGCAGACTCCTTTTCAAAAGATAACGTACCGAAAAATTGATCAAACAGATTGTTATTAATTTTCTGCTAGGATTTTCAAGTAGTAATAGCAGCCAGAAATATGAGTAGACGCAAAGTAGGTGCCTCTTTAGGAGCGCACAGATAACATTAGGAGCAACTGAAACGGATAACATTAGCAAGATAGCATGTAATATTCGGTTCAATAAATAGAATGATTTAATTTTTTATGATATGTTTTCTAATATCGTGTTTATTTTGTGAATTAAAAAACATCAGGAATAACATTGTATAGAATTATTGGTTGATTCCTAAGATGAACACTATATTAAATGAATTACGAATAAAGTAAACGACATAGTCGGTGAACTTTTTTATTTAAACCTAGTGTATTACAGTACATATACATTGTACTGGATTTCGTTAACCCACTGGGTTTAATTGTCAATTCCATTAAATGTATGTACATTTCCCTCTATTTTCCGCAATCTATTAATCTAAGTATAAACAATAAGGACGGATAACAGGAAGGGTACATCTAAGAAGACACAATATATATTTTAAATCATTCCATAACACATTTTAATTTTTTATTCAATTTTTTTTTCAGGGCTGTGCAAGAATTCGAGGAGATACATTAGGTTTAGTTGGCTTGGGACGCATTGGCAGTGCAGTTGCATTGCGAGCAAAAGCATTCGGCTTCAACGTAATATTCTATGATCCATACCTACCAGATGGTATCGATAAATCGTTGGGCCTAACACGTGTATACACTCTGCAAGATTTACTGTTCCAATCAGATTGTGTATCACTACATTGTACACTTAATGAACATAATCATCATTTAATTAATGAATTCACAATTAAACAGGTGAGTCGACGTTTGGCATTATTGGTCAGTCTTATTTTTACTCACATCGATATTGTTGTAAATAAAAAATGTGTGTTCCTTTTCAGATGCGACCTGGTGCATTCTTAGTAAATACTGCACGAGGTGGTCTGGTGGATGACGAGACTTTAGCACTTGCCCTGAAGCAAGGTAGAATAAGAGCCGCTGCACTGGATGTACACGAAAACGAACCCTTCAATGTATTCCAAGTAAGATGATAACAATGTAAAACGGAATGATAGCCTCCCTCACAAATATAACAATGTCAATATTCTGCAATCAATTTTAAAGCAAACTACTGCTATTAACCCACCCTTATTATGTACGCGTATAACATGTATTTCTTTGTATTTGTATCTCTTTAAATATAGGGCGCCCTTAAAGACGCTCCCAACCTAATATGTACACCACATGCCGCCTTCTTCAGTGATGCATCCGCAACAGAGTTGCGGGAAATGGCTGCAACGGAAATTCGACGAGCCATTGTCGGCAATATACCAGATGTTTTAAGGAATTGTGTTAATAAGGAATATTTCATGAGAACACCAGCATCAGCAGTTGCTGCCGCCGCTGCGTCAGTATATTCAGAAGGTAAAATACCACCCATATTATCAAATCAAGAAAAGTGAAAACCAAACTATACATCTTACAAATTTACAATTATTACGTTTACAAATACCATAACACACATTCATACAACAAACCACTACAACTATTTAGTAATACTGAGCAGAAAGAGAATGATTAACAAAAAGATTTGAAAAATAAACAAAAACAAAAATTAAGAAATTAATTTGTTTTACCATAAAAAAAATAAGAAGAAAGTATTTTCTCATACAAACGACTTTCCTCCCCTTCCACCCATCACCACCACCACCACTACAACTACCAATAAACCAACCTCCCTTGAATTTCAATTTGAGATGACTGTAATGATATAATACTACAGGTGGTATTGCTGTTTAAAGCATCGTGCCATCTTTGGACACAATAAAAAAAATTATATTCTCCTACTTGCAGAACAGTGGTTATCTTTCCATCACCCCACTGCTGCAGATTCAATTGTGCAAAAAAGAAAATAATGACACGCACCTGTTTTTTTTTTCCAATCCGCCAGGTTTTTTTTTTAATTTTAAATTTTACTGATTCCCATACTTGGAGCTTTTGTGCATGTCTAATTTTTAAGAACATTTCCAAAATACTGTTTCACATGGAAGATAATCAGCCACAGAGAAAGTCCTGATTCATGCTAATGTTTAGAATTAATAGATTTCGTTATCTGGACTCGATCCTTTAAAATTGAAGTATAGGTATATATTTCCTCTGGGAAATATCAATTTCTGTAAATTTTATTCATGATTGAACAGATTAAATTCATATAAGAACTTTCGCATAGTTTGATATTATATATAGATACAGACAGTTGAGATAGTTGAAAACAGATTTGCAGCAAAGTATAGTCTTGATTTGTCATACTGTGTTATGGCCAAGTTTAGTTTGTTATCATCCCCTCTCATTATGTCTGTGGTTAATTTTGACGGTTGGCAATATTTATTTCAAATAATTTGGAGAATTTCTGTTTTTCTTTTTTTTTTCATTATTATTTGCTTCATTTTGTGTGTGGCATCACCTTTTAACACGTTTTGTGGTTTGTGTTATTTCGATTTTGTGTTTTAATCACTTGCTACAGCTAAATAAAGAAATAAGTGTAGAAAATAAGGTTTTCGTATTATTCGAATAAGCTTAAGTTTTTTCCTTGTCGATTATTTCGAATGTACTCCGTACGATTCCTTTGCAAATAAACTTGATTTTTAATAGTTCTTCGTTTATGTTTGAAACAAATATAATTCGCTGCTTTATACATTTTTGTTTTAATTATTTAAGAAATGCTTAATAGTATAAGCTTGTGTAGCCCATTTACAATTCTCGTTTTGTTTTTTGTTTTGTAATTTTATATCTTATTTCATTTCGCTACAACAACCAACAATAACAATCAACAGTTAATCAATATCTATTTCGGATCATGTAAATTTGTCAGATGCTTCTTCATCTGAAAATAAATGAAAACAAAATAAAAAACTATAGATATTTTTACCACACATTTATATGTATAAAACACAAAGATATGGATACGTACGTTATGTATTTAATTAATCCATGTCTTGCAATACTGAGGAAAGATATAAGCTAAAAAGTAAGGTGAAAGTAAGCACATTTGATGGTTTTTGTTGTGATTTTCTTTTTTGATTTGAAAATACGATTTTTTCTTCTTCAATACCGACACAAAAAATGTTCAGTATAACACTAACTAAACTGCTGTAAAAATATACATACATTACAACTTGTACCATTCCTTATCAGTATTTACTGTGTTTGTCTTGAGATATACTAAAATGTTTGTCGTACTATGTCTAAGCGTAACTTCTTTAATTTAGCCATGTTATTATAATAACATTAGGTTAAAATGTAGCAATTCATCATTCTATGCTTTGTCACAATTTCTAAAGTATTTATCTGTGTTATCAAATCAAAAAAGAAGTTCAGAATTAATAAATATAAAAAAGATTTGCATTATACAAAACTACTGTGTATCATAGTTAACAAATATATCTTAGAAATTACTGGCTTTCTTCTTTGAATTTCGACCTGATACAACAGCAACAATTAAGACCAATTATATGTGAAAGAAAAACAACAACAACATAACATGTTAAAATGCAATAAATTAAAAACATAAATAAAACAAACAAACAAATATATGCTCTGTGTTTAAATGATCTCATCATCCGTGATTATTTTCGCCTTCTGAAATCATCATTCTTCATGCAAAAGAAATATAACAAAAACAAAAAAACATACAATAAACTGATTAACAAAATCAATGCTTCACTAAAAAAGCAAGAACAACAAACAAATTACACAAATAATAGATTTAGGCGACAAAAGTTAGTCTATAAATGTACATTCAAAACAACAACAACAAAAAATACAATTAAAGTAGGTTTATGATGTCTAATATGAAACAAACAATATATATATATAAATATATTAAAATATAATAAAAGCGATAATAACAAAAAAGAAAGAGCGAGCAGAGATTACAATGTTTAATTAATAATATTACTTTTAGAGAAAAAAAAAAACACACACACAACAGTACATCAAAAATATATATTTTTATTGTTTCGAGCAGCTAAATTGTCAATATATTGCACAAGTTTTTTATACAAAGGTCTTGGTCACTATGCATACGTATATATGATGTACCAAGTGACAATTTTTCTCCTTCCATTAAAAATTCTTTGAAAATGAGACCAGTCCACCACTCAGAACACTTTAATGTACTTTTTCACACTGCAGCACACATTTTCTTCAAGTATACTAAACAAGTGAAAACAAATTTATAAATACAAACATAGCTCACATAGGCACCACCACTACACAACAACATATAATATCCAATATATTTTTTTTATTTTAAAGTTTGATACATATTTAATAAAAGAAAGAAAAAGATTAACATAAAATATATCGTAAAATCTCTATATATACATTATATATACAAATAAAATAAAAGAAGAAAATGTCTTTATCTTTATAACAACCACACCCATCCCTCATATAAATTAGAGACAAAGATGAAAATTAAAATAAAAGTAATAATAAACAAGGCAAAAACTGTTATTTTGTAATGTAAAAAATATTTTTAATAACTGTGAAAGCTATAAAATAACAAAAAAAAGAAGTAATTTCAGAAAACAAAAACAATGAAAACAAGAAATAAATAAGAAAGTTATAAAAACCACAAAATAAACGCGTAAATTATTTTTTGTAAATAAATTGTTTCAATTTTCGGTAAGGATCCCCCTCCCCCCAAAAACACCCAAACTACTACAGTATCTATTCATTACACCACATAATAGTTCTTCTACCATATCTTATGGCAAAGAAAACAAAACATTTTCCCTGTGATTTCCCCCTTCTTAACATTTATATACTGAAATTAATTGGGATGATGGAATCATTAAACAAAGAGAGCAAAAAAGAAAAAAATATGATTTGGATAAATATTAAAAAGTATAGTGTGTTAGCTAAATTGTGTTTGCTGCTATAAGAATGAAAGTCAGTAATATTTTCCTGTTAAACAATAACACCACACACACAACATCTATTGATAATATTTTATTATTAGGAGCTTATAAATAGTCACGCATAATTTTAAGAACATTTTATGTTGTAAAGCATATTTTTGAATCGTTTCCATCATTCCATTTATTTCAATGTGGTGTTTTATTGTGAGTGTACAATAACACTGAGTGAATGTGCTACGAAACATATACATATCTATAATATTTAGCCCAAACATGTATAATCGCGAGGAAATTTATGTAAAAAGGAAATTCCGCAATTACAAGTAAGATGTCAAAAATAAAAACATTTTAAGTTATACAGGAAGTGAGAAATGAATAGCCATTGGAATGAAATACAACATAGTAATCAACTAATATTTCAAAACAGATTATTATTTCATTCCATTCCATTAAATAATGTATGTATTTAATACTATACAATTATAGCTTCAATAAAACAGCCTCATATAAATTCACCACCCATAACAGTACGTTGCTTACTACTCCTACTCCTTGGGAAGAGTAGTCTTGCTCACTGTTTATTAATTATAGAAAGGGAAACATTTCTCGCGGATTTGTTATACATGATTGGGCTGATTATAGATATCCATTTATAGATAGATCTTATATCCGTTTCATGAGTATATTTGCTGAAGCACGCATCTGCTTTATATATCTCGACATTTATTGCTTTTATGTTTCCAACTTTAAAGAGGTCTACAGAATATTCTAGTTGCCTATAATTACACAGATTTGTTTATCGGCTTTGTATGTTTAATTGTCGTAAGACAGATTAATCATTTCAATCAATGCCGAACTATAGAAATTGTTGGTATTTGATTGAACTAATTCTTGTTCTAAATTTCGTCAAATTCGTTATAAACACAAGTTAGAAATTACATTTAAAAACAACTGATAGGCTCAAACCTAATTCAATGCGTTGCGTAATAAAATACCCACCTCACAATTATATGGCTTGCTGAACAGATGTACGCCCTGACCTTATTGGCATTGACACATATGTAGTCAATTTAAAATGTCTAAAATGGGTGAAAAAACTTTACGAATTTATCAAAAAGTATTTTCTTTTCAATGGCCGCAATTGTATTTTCATAAAACAAAAAATCTATAATATGCACTGTTTTGTTGAAATTGTTCAACTTTATATTTTGATAAGCATTGCTTATTCATTGAAACACATGTATTTAACTTTTGTGTTGAATAACATACGCATTAATTTAGGTACGAGCCTTAAAAGTCAAATTTATTAAATAACATGAAAACATGTCATTGTTGTCAACGATCCACATCTGGCAAATATTTGTAATGGGAACAGTATTTTTTTCACATCAATATTTTGCTGCTATTGTATGTAAAACTGTTGTAACATGAATTTTGGGATAAGTTAGACAGCATAGAACTCTGGATCGATCCGTAGATTAAACTAAAATAAAATCAGCAGCAGCGTATCGTTTTAGTTATTTAGTAGTTTTTTTTCTTTTCCCATATCAATGACAGCGGTGACTATGAAACACTTTTTTAGATGTATATTCTAGTGTCGGTGATGGGGAAGAGAAGGAATGTAATGTGTAAAAAAGTATTGTGATGACCGTGTTTAATTGAAATTATTACAACACCCATACAAATATATCGTTTGTCATTGTATTGGCATTTAATAACTGAAATTATACCTTTAAATTAACGCAAACACACTCACACTCTCCAACAAATGAATTTTAAGGAAAGAAATTAGGATATTTGAGTTGTTAATTTAAAATTGGTGAACATTTTTGCATAAAAGTCTTTATTCGTTAAGATAAATTGCTGACATCAAACGAACAAAAATCAGTAGAAATCTTAAAAAAAATAAACATCCATCACACACGTATTTGCTTTACATTCAAAACTTGAATATCAATACAAAACAGGATTAAATGGCGGATATTATTCAGGCGCACTTCAACAGGCTCACAGTACTACACCTCACGATGTCCCACATAGTGTAGGAGCCGCTTTGGCACCGCCAACCACTCCCTCAAATGTCAATCCATCGCCAGTACCAACGGTACCGCCTATCCATGTATTGCCACAGGTTGGATTGCAGCTAGGACTTGTGAGTAGTAAATCGGTAGGTACTGTTCTACTTCTTTAAAATCAAATCTCAAATCAAAAAATCACATTTGTTTTCTATTATTCATCATCCTACAGTGCATACACATTACACCAACACTTTAATATGTTATTTGTTTGTTCGTTCGTTCGGATGTTTTTCTTTTTTTTTTTTGTACCTAATATGGAGTATCGCAATATTATGTTGTCGTCTTTAGTTTTGGTAAATGTTGTTTAGAAAGTGTGTTGTTCTTGTTTATTATTACTATAATTTTTTTATTTAGTTTGTGTTTTTCGTATATTTAAAATATATTTGTTATTATTCACATATATGTAAATCTATCAATCTCTCCACCATCACCTAGGTATATGCATAAACTCTACCTCTACCGTACATCATACATTAATACTACTATTGGTTTCCTTCATATATCTCTTCAATATATATATTTTGAAATTTTATTTGACTGTATGTTCGTTCTATGTGTATTTGTGTGAAATTGTTGGTTTTTTAATCACATTTATTATCCAAAGAATAATATATATATTTATAATGTTAATGTCGTTGTTGTTGGTTGGTTGGCTGTATACAATCCTTGTGGAGAAACTCCAAAGAAAGAAAGTTTTTTGTTTCTTCAAATCGCGGATACATTAACACCCACACACACACAATTCACAACTCTTGTCCGTCCTAGAAACATGTAAACGTCATAGCCTTTTGGTTGAAATTTCAAATTTGTTTGGAAAATATTCCAAGAAATATTAGTTGAAAATAAACTAGAATACATTACAGATTTTTTGTTTTGTTTTATATCAATTATGTTACATATATTTTCCCTTATGTGTTGGTTCAGAAATATATAACTCTTCTACATATGATTTCATATATGTAATTGTAAATGATGTTGGTTGTTGTTAACATGTGAATTTTAATTAACATTTTTTGAAATTCTATTATTTTTTTACAGCCCCAGACGGCGCCCGACCCTAATAATCATCATCCATCCACATCTAAGCCAGAGTCATCGGAGGTTCAATAGTTCAAAAGCGCCATCAATTTCAACAAAAACAAAACTACAACAAATAACAATGCTTCATTTCAATTAAGGACATTCGATGGAACACACACTTAAGAAGTGCCATTGATGATGATAGCCAAGACAACAAAGTAAAACCAGCAGGAATTTATATGTAAACACCGATTCATCCATCGTATCTGCAACAAAAAACCATTTCCTCCTCATTTTGTTTGACCCAAATTGACGTCACTTTGTGTAAATCCTCCTGTATGTTTTTTCCATCCTTACGAAGTATGTGAATAATAAAAGAAAATGCTGCTTTTCGACATAATACCACCTCACTTTTAAATTAGATTGATTTGCTTCCGGATTTCGGATGCTGCAGTAAGCCAATTAAGAATTACATTCATCCACTACAACAACAACAACATCTTTGGCGAGTAAAATGATTACGTACGTTTTTAATTAGTATATGTATTTAAATGTGTGCAAAATGAGGTAGACTTAGGGAAGAAAATAAGTAGTGTGAGCCTAAGAAGGTTCTTTAAAAATTCAATCAGAACGCTAGTAAATTACATCATATTTCTTTCAGTGTTTTTTTACATTTTACATAAATTTGATATAATTTTTGATTCGCAGATGTGGCACCATATATTAAAACAAACTGCACACATTAGAGGTGCAGGCTTTTATTGCATAAATCAAAAATTCAACACAACAACTTAGGCTTTTGTACAAATCTTGAACATATAAAATTCATTTTTTATGAAACTTAAATTAGTATATGGATTACAATGTTTCAATACTTGTTTTTATGGGTATCGTTCCTCTAGATAATACAAAGTAATTTTTTCCCCGGTACGTAGCCAGTCCAACTATCAATTTTCTGTTACAGATGATGCAACAAACTGATATTAGAACAACTAAACATGTACATATAAAATATAGTATTTGCAAATTGCATATAGTTTTTATTTTGCATGGCCAAAGGATTAAAATGGCGGCCCTCATAGATTTATTTATGCATTAGGCATTTACCCCTCTTGTCAATAAGCAGATTATAAAGCAAGTAAAAGCAGGAACACGATCTTCTTACATATAAAATGTATGAAAATTGTCCACTCAGTGTATAAATATTTCATACGCCAATTTTCTGTAACAGATTATTCATAAAGATATATATTTAACAGATAATTCGATGACAAAAAAATGGATAGGTTATTAAAAAAACATTTTTAATTGGTACCACGCAACCTGTAAGTAATCGTTGCCCGCGATCAATGTTTGTTTTGGTAAAATATTTTCAATATTAATCTCATGCTTTGGAAAGAATCCCTCCCAACATGTCGAAACTTGCAATTGGAGCATATGAACATTGAACTGACTCTCACACCCTCTATATTTTCCTTAGTGTTTTCATTTATTACTATTTTTTGTGGCGTAATGAATTATATCCGAATTTTTCGGCTTAAATGTTTATTTTTTTATCCTTGGTAGTGACAAACACAAATGATCCCTTCCAACAAAAAAGAAATCAACCGACCGATCATGATTTCTCAAAACCCTTTAAATCTTTCTTTATGATTTAAATTATTATTTTATTTTTTAATTTTTTACATTGTAAAGAGAAAAAGATTAAAACTGAAAGTCCTTATTTACATGTCTAAAATAATAAAACAAAAAATACATATACTGTATCTATAAATATACGTTAATTTTAAGTATAATAAAATTATTGTCTTAATTTTTATTTTCTAATAATTTTTTAATTTTATGTTCGAGATAAGCTTTTTTGGTACATTTCTATGTTAAAAATGAAAACAAACAGAAAAAAAGAAAAACAAAGAAATTTCTAATTATTAATAAACAAGTTTTAAATTCAGATTATTCTGCTAGTTTTAAGAATATAAGCGATAATTACAAATAAAATATATTAAAATCGAAAAATTGTCTTCTATTTTTTGGGGGGAGGACTGTTCAGTGTTGTCGACATGTGTATGCTATTTGACACAGTTTTTACCAGGTCGAACAAACTTGCAGTCCATCTTAAAGTTTTCTTGGTTACCGTTTTAAAAATTTTGTGTGTATAAGATATATTTATAGTTTTTACAAGATTCTTAAGCTCCTGATTCCTCTCGCTCCTCTGATTCCTTATTACGGTTGGCGATAATTGGGCCCTGTCGCTCTTATACGACAAATCGGTATTATGAAAGTCGTTGCAATACTCCAAATTGGTCGTATATAATTGGGTTAAATTTTAAATTTAAAAAATGGGTTAAATTTGCATTTTAACAATATTTACTGATTAACTGTTACATTAGACTACGAACGATCTTTGCTAGAGTGAAGCCATACGCGGTAACATTTACCCTTTTTATGGTAGGCATAGTCGTTGTACGACAGTTCTAGTAGGCGTAGTCGAATGCGTTGTCATAGTTTATTTTTGGTCGGTATTATGTAAAATTTGCGACAGTGCCAAATTTACTCAGTCACAAAAACAAAGCAAAAATTGTACTTTTAGAACCCTTTTTATATTGTATATTTTCCTCTATACACCAACCGTAATAAGGGTGATTATTCTAAAAAACTCAATTCTTCGGACTCGAACTGCACTATGGCATTTTTAAGGGATACTGGATGGAGAAGAAGTGATTTCCAATGTAGATTCACTCAATTCGTCCTTTATATGTACGAATTCACCAACGACTCCTACTGACTTTTGTCAATGCATCTGGCAATAGATTTTTTTAATTACTTTTTTTATGATTTTGTGTTTGCTGTTCATATAATTAAGTCGAAATCTATCGGCTTTGAAGGGATTCATGTGTATTTTTTGAAACTCTTTTTCCATATATTTCTGATTTTGTTTTGTACCTAATAAATGCTATCTTAATGTTCTCAGTATTTTCCATTCTGTGGAAGTGATCACGTATCGTTCCCTGATAATCATAGACCTTTATATATATATATGGGCAATATTGCCAATTTTTTAACATAGCTGAATCTGAGGTTCACCCATTTTTAACTCGGGAATTACTTAAGTGTATGAAAAAAGTGAGTAGTTTATGTTAATTGATCTTTTGCAAATGATATTGACCTCCAAACTTTATTTGGGTGGAAGCTGTGTCTACATTAATGTAAAAAATGTGCAAAAACAGGTTGAGGCGAACCACTTTTTTATGTTCTCTATCGATTTGTGACTAAGTCACTCATTTCACGGTTTTCGTGTCAAAGTAAAACTTGAAGCCAACAAAATGGGTACTACGTCTCTTATGTATCATTTTTCAAAATGATTTGAGGATTACACGATTTAGACGCAATTTAAAATGTATATTTCATAATATAGTTTTACTTTAAGATTTATTCCTACTTATAGAACCCGAAGATTTATCGGAAGGGTCTTGCTACAATCCGCAAGGTGTATACTTATATACAATTATGCTTATTTTTATATATGTAAATTTTTAGGCGAAATTCGGGTAAAAAGAAGAATAACCCAAACATTTTTTCTGAAATTTCTTGTATAAAATTAAAAAAATAAATATGATGACATTATTTCTTCGAACCAAAAACAAATATTTTCCCTCAATATCTTGTTTTGTTGTCGCTGTAATTTACAAACCGCTACACAGACTTGTGTGATTTTGATACCATTTGATTTATCATGGTGTTTAGATTATGTAGACATTTTTAAATTAATTTTTAGGTTGATACATGTCATTAATATAATGAAAATATTGACATAATCTCCTATATTTTTATAATTTTTCTCATATTTCGCGAAGATGTGCTACTTTTTCGCGATTTTTATAATAATCATATTCTTATTTTACGAAGGAAGATATATATCAACGTTTTTGGTCAATATAATAAACCGCCTACTTTTAAGATTTTTTCTTACGCTCAAAATTAAAACCTCGATAACTTTTTTTTTTTTAAAAAACCTCGATAACTTTTGCGCGCATCAACCAAAAATTGATCGCGAACGGTTTCGGAGTCAGAACATTTTTATGTACATGTGTACAAAAAATCATTGATGTACCACGAAAACAAAAAACCCGATTTTTTCAAAATGGAATATTAAAAAATTGGCAATATTGCCCATATATATATATATATATATACATATATAATTCTGTAAGAATCATAAAACCACAGGGATAATACTTTATGCAACCGACACAATTATAAGGAATAAAAATCAGAAAAAATAACGGTAGTGCCGCTCCAATCGCCGAACATTGTGATTATCCTAAAAGTCATATAAAATAGAAAGCTGAAAAAAAGAAAGAAGAAAATGTAGTAATAGGTTAAATATGTTAATTCGACAATGTTAATTTCCTAGCCTAGCTGCCATAAAGACTTACCTTGTGGTATATTTAAATTTAACAAAAAATCCACAAGAAAATATGAAAACATTTAACAAATTCCTTATATATGGATTATATTTAAAATGTTTGGGGATTTTTATTGGAATTTAATTTATTGCATTTACATATCATCTACATGCAATGTGTAATAAATGCACAGAGGCTATTATTTTTGTGGGAATTTAGTTTAGTACAGTTTTTTCTCAAACATTTACAATTAAATACTAATAATAACATAATGTAATATCGAACCGAACTGATTTTCTTCCCATTGTTTTTAAAAATCGATGATTTTCTTACAATTACATACATCTCCCTGCAAAATATTAGACACGACGACATAGGCAAACATATATGTTTATATAATTTTGTATGTATGTTGGTATGTAAGTATATTGAGTGTGGTGGAATGTTTAAAAATTACATCTTTTTAAATCACATAATTTAGCTTTAGATACATATATATGCGGGGCGGGGGTTTTGAGGTGGTAATGATGACAAAAAACGGCATAGAGGAACTAACATTTATTGGAATTAAAAATATGCTTCGGTTTTTGTTTTTGGTTTTTTCTTTTCTTATAGTCCTGTTAAAATGTCTAAAAATGAAATCTGAAATGTTATCCTTGTTGACATGATCATGATTCTTTTATTGAATATGTACGTAAGAATGTATATACTATATGTTGTAAATAAGATCTCTCTTCTGTAGAATTTTCTTAAAGAATGATGTGTATATGTTTACGTTATTCTCCTTTTTTCTTTTTTTTTTTGTTTCATTTGATTTGTTCAAAACAAAATTTACGATACTAAAAAGAAAATTACCAACTAAATATTAAACAGAAGAAATGGTAATGCGTGACGTCGAACATCGATCGCACCTTTTTATCGCAAACGTCCTAAATGTGGTTTTAACAATTTGAAGGCGCCATAAAGTGTCAAACCGATAAGACCGTATTTAACCGTGTATTTACAAATACGGGTGCTCAAACTGGCCGGTGGTATTTCCATTATAGCCGGTATTATTTGTGGATCTACATGGCCCCACATTTTAGCTATGCCGTTTGCATGACCAATACCAACAACACCGACAACGCGCACCGGACGTGGTTCACCCGTTGCTTCAGCTGGCTGAGGCAAAGCAGCCATTTGCAGCGAATGACATAGGAATAAGTCGCGTTCCTTGACAAAAACATCGGAAAATTCAGGAAACTCTCCAGCCATTTCTTGCATTAGTTTCTCCAAGAGATCTCGTTGTTTACATTCCTCAACCTCTTCTATGCTAATGGTGTCCGAAGAGGTGAGACGCCACACCAATTTTACAGTCTGCCATAGTGAGAGTGCTCTCAATGCTCGATGTAGAGTGATGCGTATGGGTCGATCACCTAGGTGTAACATACAACCGGGTAATTTGTGTATCTCTTCGAATGCACGACGAAATTCGCCACCCGGCGCCATGCCTAAATCTTTGGCAATTTGGGCACTCATTTGCAGCAGCAAAATAAAGAATATACCATTAATATAACCATGGGAATGGATGATGCTGCGTATCTGCGGAATAATTAAAACATAAAATTAAAACAAATTCATATAACGCCAACGCTGATCATTTCTTTTTTGTTATTTAATTTCATTTACCTTGGCCAAATTGAAACTCTTAGCTTCTTCCAAAAGCGTTTTTTCATCGAGTTTTAAAATTGGAATGCGCGATGGACATAACTCTACCATAACAACATCTGGACGGATATTACGGATAACCTGAAAAAAAAAACAAATAATATCAGTTTAATTAATTTTTGTCATTATTTTCAGTCCACTTACAAATGAAACATCATCTTGCGATTCCTCACTGAAATGGGCTGTACCAACTAAATAGACTTTACTACCGAACGGTGTGTCCAGCACTGTTACCGTCGATGGCAGATTTCTCTCGAACTCTTCAATTGTGTCGTAAATTTTGATTTCACGCTTTGTTTGCGGCTGCGGACCATTTCCAACGGCAACATCATCACCGACAGAGGCTGGCGATGCTGTCTCTGCCGCCGATGCTTCTGCAATGGCTATGTTAAGTTTTTGCTTACTGGAATATATAAGTGTTTCAGCCTTTCTGCGTCGTTTGTCAGCAACATTTTCAGCCAGCGTGCCATGGGGCGATGCCGTCTTATTTACCACCGTCACATCGGGATTTAGGGCTGTATCATTTTGCTTCGGTTTTTGGTCGAGCGATTCGGATAAATCTTCATCCGATGACGTTTCAATCACCAAAACAGAACTTTCTATGTCCTGATCTCTGATGGAATTTTCGTTAATTTCTATAATTGACAAATCCGGATTATCCGTTTTGAATATTGTCTTATTAGCTAGTTTCGATTTTGGATCAACCTCTTCTTGAGACGTACTATTGGTCTCGGTACTCTCTGACTGTATTAGAAGCATACTGGCGTTTATAACATTTTGATTATCATTGTTCAGTTGATTAACGGGGTAGGATGGTCCGAAGTCATTTTGTACTGCTAAATTGTCGGATAAAGCTGCTGATTCTGAATCTCCGTTCAATGTTGTGTCAAAATCCATAGAACCAGATGACGCCGAGGAGGAATTCAAATGTGAAAAGTTGTCGCTGGACGTTGTTGTAATGGGTGTACTACTGTTGGTTGTTGAATTTAATGTACTGCTATTATTGTTGGCACTCTCTGTAAATTAGATTTCAAACAAAATGGTCTTGTAAAAATGAAATATAGATTGGCTAATTCCGATTCCTTCTCACCAGTAAAGGAAACAAATGTTGTCATATTATCCATAGCACTGTCATATAGGCTATTGCTACCGGCGGTATCGTTATTAATTGATTCTATACTATTATCGGCATTTAAAGGGTTTCTGCTGGTCGATGGTGTTGCCTTCGCTGTTGCCGGTGTAGTGGAACTTGAAGATGAGGATGATAAGTCCATTTTTGGAAGAATCGGTTGCACATAAAATTCGTTTGTCGGAGGATGGTTTTTTTCTTCTTGCTCCTTTAATGCAAAACAAAATGGGACTTATGGAAATAATTGTATTGTGGCTAATGTTGAAAATTCATAAATCTGAAAAGGAAGATATTGTAGATTTAATATAGGTAGGTATGCACCGATGGATGTACATTGCTATCGTACGAGCTCTAAGAGTAAACCACCATAATATAGCGCAAAGGCTAAACGTTATTACAAAAGAGTGCACTGAACCGTAGACAAACAATTCTTTACATTCAATCAAAGTCCAATAAAAGTAATAATAGGATGGATCGGTGAACATGTATATGATAAAAATCTATATTCGCTAGTTTTGCTTTCAATAACTTTGCTTATTGATCACATTTGTTGTTCAAATCACAGTATCGTAAAAGTATTTTCTGTGCTTTGTCCGTATAAAGGACATTCTGCCCATATCAAGGTAAACCCGCATACACTACACAAAGTAATATTGACTTATTCGAAGGTAAGGTCGTCGTCGTCAGCGGAGGCGGAGTGGGTGAGCAGCGTGCCATCATTATCATTTTTATTATCACACAGTGATTTAGAAATTGACCACGTCACTAAAAATTATATCTTTGCAATATTTAGCAATGCAGGTAAACTTTTTCAGCTTATTGGACAACAGCACCAGACAACTTACGCACATAAATACAAAAGAAAGAAAAAAATTATATGAAAATCCTATTTCGCAACACTCACATTTGTTTATTAGTTGTTTGGTTGGTCACTAAAACACCATTTATTGAGCTTTCGCTTTCTTATGGATTCCCGTGCAATTTCCCTGTTTCAGGTGGTAGGGGACCGTCTTACGGCGATTTATAACAAAATAAAATAATAAAATATAATGCAAAAATTTCCAAAAAATTAAAAACCGAATCAAAATTTTTTTATTCCCTTTTGCTTCTGCTACGGTATAGTTGTTAGAGTTGTTTAGTTCACGAATGAACTAGTTCAATTGAATGATTCCCTGAAAAAAGCGTATGAACTAGGTTAGTCTATTAGTTAAATTTTGTTCATTTTATTAGCTGAACGAATGATTCATTTATGTTGAACACTAATGGTCTGTTCCCGTGCTGCAAGAATTTACTAATTTTTAATGTATATATTTTTTCGATATCATAAAGGAAATTGTTATCGAAGTAAAAAATTAAACATTTTTGCAGGTTCTGGAACAGGACAATTATATAATTACTATGTTCTGAATACATCATTCATCTACCAATTTGGCCCTAATAATTTCTTTAATGTTATTAATAACATATTCGATCCTTAACATCTAACTATTTCATGGATATGCAATATTTTTTTAAAAAGATGGTCACTAAAAAACATAAATAACTTTTAGGACTGCAAGTCTCCGCACCTGAGTTTTTTACACATTAAAAAATACACTTTTCACATTTCAAATAAAAATATTAGACCGAAACTTTTTTCTCATAAATAAATTTGTTCTCCGAGTTAGTTGGTTTGACAATTTTTGGCCGATTAAGCCAAACACTCAAACATGAATGGAATGTCAGGTTTTTTATGTATTGGTTCAAGGCCTATATAAGGTCGGACATTAAGGACAGCTGAGTATTAAGTTTGCTGTCAAATCACATTTTGAAATCTATACATACAAACAAAATTATGTTAGACGTCATAACGAAAATATTAATATTTTAGCAACTTTCAATTCAATTAATATCGTCTTTGTGAAGCACATTTGAACTATTTCAAGATTTTAAAGAACATTTTCAAGTAAATTATCTTACAAAATTATAAATTGTATTGTGTTTTGGTTGTGTTTTTTTATTTAAAGGCGAAACAATTAGTTTCGGCAAAACAAATTGACGTTAAACTCATGGTACAATAATACAAGATAGGGCATAACAACATGAATAACAAAATAGCAACTATGCACGTGTGGCTTCTTCTGCCAAAAATAAAATAAATATACGCAACAAGTGTTTGTGTTTATTTTACATTTTTTAACACAAGACTAAAAACGAAGAAAAAAATAATATTTCAATTCATTTCGAATTTATTTGACATAGTATTCAAAACAATACACACACATACACAAAATATATATTTTGATTTGATGAACAAGTATTCAAAACAATACACACACACCTTGGGAAAAAATTGTAATCAGTTGGTAGCTGTGCCCTACCTTGTAATAATTATACCATGGATTATACTTAATGGATATTCACAAATCATATGGTTTAGTGTCGTTGCCAGTTGCCAAATTTGAATTATGGAAACTGTTGTCAACTTCAGTTGCTTCAAATAGAATTTTTCGGCAACCATTTATTTCTGGTTGCTGTTTAGTCGTGTTTAGCAATAAGAACTGAAATTTGGTTGGGATAATGGTTAAAATTACTACAAAATGGCGAACATCTTCTTTTGGGTCCATGATGTGTACGTGTATGCCATCTATACATTCGACAACACCCGGGAACTTTGTTTTCGAATAAAAAATTTTATTCTTCCCCTTTTCCTCCTCTGTTAATTTGGAAACAATACAAATTTTACACAGCTTTTCCTCTATTAGCCGAACAACTTCGGTCAAAACCACTGACATTGTGGATTGAGCCATGCCATGGTTGAAGTCATTACCTCCACAAAAAACTCAGAGCTGCACACAGTTTTAAGAGAGGAGGAATTGCTGTTGGCCGTCGGGCTTTTGGGAAACCAGGGTTTAATGCTTCAACTAAGTACACAACGGCAACTGAGAAAAGTTGAAATTCACAATGTTACAACGTTACCAATTATTCAACGAGGCGTACAAAAATATTCAACATCCCCAATATGGCAAAATGTTTTGTACGGCCGTATTACCCAAATAGGTCGACTTAACAAAATCGAACAAAAGAAAAAACAGTACTACGTTCTGTCATAGTTGAATTTGTTCTACTTTGAAAATTCGTACGTCGACGTATTTCGGTAACATTCATATAAATACACGTGTTTTACTTTTGTGGTGAATAATGTCGAACGCCCTAGTTGAATTTTAGGTAGTGCTCTTAAGTTTTATTTCAGTGGCGTTGTCAGTTGAAATCGCAACTGGAGTTTGGTTGCTATGCATAATCGACCCAATAAATTTCTTCTTACCAGAGTTGTAAAATTCATCATTCGATCGATTTGTGGATGCGTTTCACACCGCAGTTTTCGAGTCTGTGGGCCGATTAACACATCTTGTTCTCTCTCTAAATTCACTTTCTCTATAGGGAATAGTTCCTATCATATTGGCGATTTTTCTCGATAATTATGATTTATTATCATTTGAAGTAAAATAAGGTACATTTTTGTACTTTTTGTTCCTACCAATGAGAGAGAGAAAAAACTCTCATGACGAATAGTGTAAAAGACTCAACAATGTTGTTCTCATGCATTTGCCATCCCACCTCATTCGTAAATATTTCGTTAACCTACTTTGTGTTCTCTTCATCGGCTATTTTGTCATATCCCCAATTCGTTAGCAAGTGGAACGTTTTTCAATTTTTCTCGGTTGCGGACAAACGGGATCGGAATACCACGTGCATAAAAACTTTGTTTTTATTTTTATTCATTTAAACAAATCGCTCCTGCTATGCCCCCAAAGGACCCAATTGCCCTGAGGGAGTCTTTCCTGGCGGAAAATAGCATTTACTCTGAACTGGAAGCGGAGGCTGATGTAAAACCTATTGGAAAAATTGAAGACATTGATGTGACAGAAAACGAAATTTGGCTTCTACAATGCCCCAAGGGAATGAATTTAAAGTCACTGGAAAACGAAAAACTAAAAATACCAGGCCGTACATCTATTAATGATCTCGAATCAGTTTCTGTGGACTTTGTGGAAGGCAAACAACAACATTCATTTGCATACTGCTCTCGCAATGGCCGATACGATTTGCGTGTGCTTCCTGTGCGCGGAACCATTGTTTTGCGAAACCGTTTGAAAGCATCCGAATCTATTACAGAGGAACGCATTTCTGAGTGCTGTCCACCCATGAAAAAAGTTCCTTTGCCCTCAAAAATCCGTGTGAGGCATCCGCTGTTAGGGTTCCAGTATGAGGATAAACTAGAAATAGATCAAATTGTTAAGAAACGTCTCCTTGAAGCAGATCAGCTGTCAGCCGAAATTCTCAAACAGAGCATAGTTAAGAAATTAAGCGAAAAGCCTAAACAAAAACAACAAAACACCAAAGCCATTGAAATTGATAGTGATAATGAAGAAGATGACGAGGTACAGTTTGTCGGCAAAGAAGTGGTAAAGAAAAAGAAGCGGAAGCACAGTGAGAGCAACAAGTCAGATGACGGCTCTAAGAAGAAGAAAAAATCGAAAAAATCAAAGAAAGGAGACGACGAGGAAGTTTCAAAAGATCTGCAATGGCTACAAAATTTATAATAAACAAACCATTACAAGTAAACAAGTGTTTTTATTCTATTGTCCAACGAGTTATGAAGAAAGTAAAAACTTTTCCTAGGATGTTTTTCATACAACTTGTATGTGATAATCATATTAGAAGTGTGAAAAAAATCAGATCGAATACTATTGAAACTGTTATTGTCATTCCAACCATTGTACGAAAGGAAGGTAAAACTGCTTTTATAGCGGTGAAAATGCTCTACTGCATGAGAGCCAGTATGGATTTAGGAGTAATCGCGGCACTGCATCTCTTCTTGTTGGAAAGCCTTTGACAAAATTAATCATTGCTAATTTAATTAGAAATTAATAGGTGTGTCTGGTTACTTTTCCAGTAACATTTATTCAGTAAGTTCTAGTTCAGAGAGTAAGCCTTTTTTACTGTCTTTTGCGATAATACTGAGAAAAGTAAACATACAACATTAACATTAGTAAGATTTAGCAAATTACAGCTGATTCAAGAAAACATTTGATTTGCGCCAAAATAAACAAACAATCAAAGAACAAACACAATAATTATTTGTATTGTATTTAATATTAAAAATAAAATTGAACAATAAAAGTAAAATTGATTTGGTATGTTCCCCGGGAACATTTAAGCTTCCTGCATCAAAACATTACCCTCTACCTGGAACTTGTCTAAAAATATATAAGGAATTAGTTTCTAATTTAATGAAACTTTGCATTACTTACGAATTTTCTTCCATTTTCTGTAATTTTTATACAATTTAACTTCAAATTGAACTTTGCAAATTAAAAAAGTGTTTTAAATAATTTTTGTGTTTGGTCATAAAACAGTTGATCTCAAAATGGCCGAGTTTGCAAAATCTTACTGAATAAAATTCTTTCAGTAAACTCCAGTCTCACTTGACTCTCTTTTGCTGGATTTTTGGGTAAACAGACAACATTTAGTAACATTTGGTAACAATTGTACCAAATATCGAGTAAACAGACAGAGCTAATGTTAAATTTTTTCATCATCAGCCTTTAAACTTCTGTTCCATAGGGTTATGCGATATGTATATTGTGTTACACGTCGTGATCACATTTCTCCTTATGTTAAAGAGTTACTCGGTTGTACTTTTGAAAGTTTTGTGAGTTTAAGGTCGATGTTGTTATTCTATAAAGTATTTAAGTTACGGACTCCTTCCTCTGTAGTTGATTTATTTTTGTTTTTTTTTAGATCTGTAACAGTACGTTTACATTTAACCGGATTTCGTTAACCCAGTGGGTTTCAATTGTTATTTCCTTTGCATATATGTCAAATAAATCCTCATAAAGTAGGTTAACCCGGTAAAAAGTTCTAATGTACAAGGAGTTTAAGAAACATACAAATACTTGTGCCGCTTTTGTGTCCTTTATTGAAGAAAATAATTTTTTGTATGAATTTCCAGAATTTTTAACACCTTACCGCCTTCTTTTAGAACATTTAGCTCTCTTAAAATTCATGGTTTTGAATTTAGGAGTTGAGAGTAGATATATGTAGTCCTTGGGTTCTGATCCCCTGAATATAGGTTAAGATATTATTAAGCTAATGCATTGTTAGTTTTAAGCTTTTGGAGAAGCCTAAAAACAACAGCATGTTTTTTGAATCGCCCTTGGACCTTTGGGCTAGATTAAATTGACTGCTCGTGTGGTGCCCTTTCTCAAATCACGCACTCTTCGTGGTCCGGATGACTTGAGAACCATCTCAATTTTGTCGGTTTTATCAAAAATACTAGAACATATAATTAAAAAGCAAATGCTTACGACTTGTTGAAACCGAAGAAATGAATGCCAATGGTGCCTAATCTAGTATTCCAAATTTGTACTCCGGAGTACCACAGGGATCTTTCCTCGGCCCATTTTTGTTTACTTTATATATAAATAACCATCCTTTTTACACAAATACTCCATGTTGCTCCACATTTATTTTTGCAGATGATATATGTGCAGTACTTTTCACCTAAAGGCGAAGACGGATATAAGCGAAAAAAGTGCTATTTACGGACATTTTTTTTTCCAAATTCATACAAATTATTTGTTCTTTAGTCCACTTCGCTTATAGTCCATTTTCGTTTAAAGGCCACATTTTCTGTGCATGCAAAACTAATATTGCATAGAAAAAAATTTCATATAGGCCACCCTGTTTTTTTTGAACTGGAATCTAAGCAAAAGAATTTGCAGTGAAATTAGAAAAAGATTTTGAGCCAAATACATCATGGCTACTCCGTTGGAAGAAACGCAACAGAATAAGTGTGGGAAAAATCAGTGGGGAATCGAAGGACAGTGATGAATATGAAGCCCCAAATTTTATACACGGCCAGTTACCTAAAATTGTTCAAAAATATGCACCAGAATGCATTTTTAATGGAGACGAAAGCGGTTTATATTACAAAGCATTACCAAACACAACATGCTTTAACAAAGGCAGTCCAACAAAAGGATGGAAAATGGAACTCAACAGGTTCCTATAAACGTGTGCTTGTGATTGGAAAGCCCGGACGGCCCCGATGTTTCAAAAATAAAAACATTTCCATTACATACTTTTCAAATAAAAATAGTTGGATGACTGTTCATATCTGGAATGAAATACTTTTAATATTGGAGGAAGATATGAATAAATTAAAAATGAAAATAATCCTATTTGTTGACAATGCGCCATGTAATAAGACCACAATAAACTTAACAAATATTACGGTTCAGTATCTTTCTCCAAATACTACAGCTATAATCCAGCCTCTTGATCAAGGAATAATCCACTCATTTAAGTAGCATTATAGACAGATCACTGTTAAGAAACAGATCTGTGCTATTGAAAGAGGAAACCCCGTTTCCGAATATATTAAATCAATAACCATATTGGATGCTTTGCATTTCATAAAGCTGGCCTGGTGGTTAGTAAAGCCTGAATGTATTGGAAACTGTTTTAAAAAGGTATGCACCATATTTATTAAAATAAATTTTTTCATATTCCTAAATACGTTTATTTTGTATATTTTCAGGGAGGTTTTAATCAGAAAAGAGATATTATTGAGATTGAAGAGGAGGAAAACTGTGTAAGCGAATTTTCTTCTTTTGAAGAATGTCATAATAATTTTAATGATGAGGAATGCACTTCATTACAATAAGCTTTCAAAGCATTTGAATTAAAAAATAATAAGTTATTGTTTAAACAATTAATTTATTTTAAATAAATATATTAATTTTTTTAATAAACTTGAATTTTATTTAGAAAAGTACATACTTTGTGTATAGTCCATGAAGTGTGTTATATTAGGATTCAGTTATAATCCATTAATAGACTCAAAACGAAATTAGGGTATAGTCCAAATTCGCTTATAGTCCACAAAAGTTGTGCAACTATAGTTGTGGACTATAAACGAAAACTACTGTACTACTCTTTAGTGGTAGTTGTGTTGACATGCATTTAGTAAGTTAAAGTAATATAAACGCAAACTTAAATCGTTTTGTTGATTGGGCTACTAGAATTTCGCTAATGGCCAAACCATCAAAGACCAAATCATAATTTAGTAATTATAATCGCTTCTTGTATTCCTTTAACATTTTCTTGCGAATAGAATAGATTTCTTACAGCAGCATAAGTGTCTCGGTGCAATTATTGACTTTGATCTTTCGTTTAGAAGTCACATTCTTCGGCAAATTATGGAGCATGTTATGTAGGATCAACCGGTCAAATTTATATCTGACTCACCGAATAAAATTAATGCTAGTTAATTCTCTTTTACTATTTTTTACAAGAATTACTTGAATAGCATATTTGATACACTTTTATTACTTAGTTCAGTTTGATTTGGATTGTGTTACCACTCCTTGGTAAAAATGTAGTTTTGCTATTAATATAGTTGCATAGTTTTTTTTTTTAATTTGTATAATATAGGTTAGGGATGTACGGTTGTTGTGACAACCGTCCACTCGGAGACTATGTCCATTGTGATCATCCTTTATGTATATGTACCCGTAAAGAAAAGAAAAGAGGTAGTGGAAGAGTAGGGAGAAAAGACAGTGAGAAAAAAGGGGCGGAAGAGAGACTATTTTAGCGAAGTCAATCTTTTGACAAAGCGAAGAATTTGGTTAGGGTCTATTTTGGAGAAGAAGACTAGATTATCAAATTCATATCTTCCAAACTGTTTATGTCTTCTGCTGATCAGCGATGGACATTTGCAGAGGATGTGCTCAATTGTTCCAGTTCTTCTTCGTCCTCACATAGACGACAGTAATCCTCTCCACTGGAGTCCCACTTAGAAGTAAGAGATCTAATTTTGCAGTGACCAGCTATAATCCCCACAACGATTTTGATCTCCCTCTTATTGTGTTCCAGCAGCGAAGACTTTCTTTTACGAGAGAATTCAGGCCAGATAGGTTTTGAGATTCTGCAAGCAGGTTCCCTTAGCCATCTATTACCGACTACCTCGCAATGGAACGCACGGATTCTGCCAATGAAATAGCTGATGGGAGGTTTCACAGATCTCTCAATCAGAAGATTGGACGGGTGTGAGCCCCCTCGAGCAAGCCCGTCGGCTATCTCATTCCCTTCAATGTCATTATGTCCTGGAACCCAGCATAGACCAACTATCTGTCGTATATCATTCAAAACGGTCTTACAATCATGAACTGCTTTCGAATTTATAGTATGCGACTTCACCGCTTTCAGGACCGCCTGACTATCGACATATCTAGTCACTGGTCCCGTGATGTCGGCTTTAAGTGCTTTTACTATCTCGGCCGCTTTCGTGATTGCAAGAATCTCTGCTTGAAAAACGCTACAGTTATTGTTGAGTTTATATGAGTTGTATATTCCTAATTCCCTACAGTAAACGCCTGCGCCTTCCTCCATCTTAGACCCGTCTGTGAAGATTGACAGACCTGGCAGAGTTAAGGAGCCACTAGTCTAGGATTCCCTACTAGGAAATTCAACTTTGATGCCATGAAAGTCCCTATGAGGGGGAATATGGTTACTGATATGACTATCCCCCCTAAAG